ACTCAAGACCTGGTTTTAAAGGAACTGGATCAACTCAGACCTGGTTTGAAAGGAACTGGATCAGCTCAGACCTGGTTTTACAGGACCAGAATTAACTCAGACCTGGTTTTACAAGAACTGGGTCAGCTCAGACCTGGTTATACAGGAAATGGATCAACTCAGACCTTGTTGTGGATCTTCTGGATATGGTCTGGATCACGGACCACCACCTGTTGGTTGATCAAGTCCGCCCGGTAGACCGTCCTTTCCTCCGGGATCTGGCTCACTGGCAGCGGAGCCTCGTAGTCCTCATAAACCCGGATCCGCCTCCGGGGAGCCCGGAACTCAGCCTGCATGCTGCCTGGACTGGTTCTGGGTTTGCAGGTCTTGCTAACTCTGGTGTTGATAGTTAGCTTTTTAGTACACGGCAGTTTTTCTACCGGAAGTGACGGTGTTACGGAGAGTATGTCCGATCAGAAACATCGGTATATTATTTCAGTTCCTCTTACAGTCGAAACGTTAAAACAAATAAACAGACGTGAAAATATATTTTAACTCACCGTCTTTTAGTCTGAAAAATAGTGTTTACATTTTTTGTGTGTGTGTTTTTATCTGAAGAAAAACCACAACAAACAATACAGATCTTTTATGACAATAACAGATGCTGCTCTTTATCATGTTCAAAGGCTTTCTTCTTCTTCTTCTTTAGTTAACCAGTTCAACACCTTTTTTTAATGTTTGATTGTCCTGCCCCAGTGTCCCCATCCCCCTCTCTTCCAGCAGCAGATTTCACCTCGTAACCTAACCGGTGTCATCAAAACACAGTTACACACAGTCCCCACACCTTAGCAGCCTACACCCCAGGAAGGCGGCAGGCCTGGACAAGGAATGCCCCAGGATGCTCAAGACATGTGCTGTCCACAGCCTTTCCAACAGGTCTTTGCAGTGGGTCCTTCATGATGGAAGACATCCTGTCTCATTCCACTTCCTAAGAAAGCACACCCCAAGGAGCTGAATGACTACAGGCCGGTCACCTTTTGAAGAAAGTGCTGCTGAAACTCCTTAGACCAGGTTCACCATACTGAGGACCCTATGTTCACGTACCAGGAGAAGATGGGGGTGGATGCCATTCGCACAGGGCCCTCTCACCTAGACAAGGGAAACTGATGTGAGGGTCATGTTTTGCAACAACCCAGGGTCCAGTCGCAGAGTTGCAGTCACCCACCCAAAACCCCATTGAAACAGTGTCAACTCACCCACGGCACAAATTAAATAAACCTAAAATCAGTTCTAATAATATAAATCATAAAAATCGTATTAAAATAAACAGTTACTTTACCAGAATAAAAGAATAAAATAAATTAAACGTGTTTATTGAACATCAGATCTCTTTCTTCTAAATCCCTGTTAGTTAATGACCTGATAAATCATAATGATTTATTCTGTCTGACAGAAACCTGGTTAAAACAAGAAGATTCTGTTAGTATAAATGAATCCACTCCACCTAATTATTAAAATGTTTAATGTTCCTAGAACAATAGGTGGAGCCGCGGAGGTGTAGCTTCTATTTTTCAGTCAGGAATATTGACTAATGCTAAACCAATTAGTTATAATTCTTTTGAGTTGTTGTCCTCAGTCTTGTTCATCTAAAATCAAAAAGGCCTCTTTTACTAGTTCCAACCACGTTAAGTCAAATCCTCTGAACGGTTTCTTTTTGTTGAAACATTTCATCTTTCATCCAAAAGACTTCATCAGTCTGAGGAGTCACAACAAACTCAGCATAAATAGCATCTTTTCATAGTGGGTCAACCAGTTTGATGGTGCGCTGATGGTTTCTGGAGTCCGCCCTCTCTCTCGCCGACTCGTCTGCGGCAGCCATGGCCAAAGTGATTCAAAACAACAGCAGACTCCAGAAACCATCTTAGCACCATCAAACACTATGTGAAGACGCTATTTATAAGACTGAGTTTGTTCTGGCTCCTCAGACTGACCCAGGACAGACCCAACCCCTCAGACCTGAACCAGGACAGAGACAACCCCTCAGACCTGAACCTGTGTGAACTGGTTCAGGTGATTTAAAAACACTTCACACTTTACTCGTGTTTGAAAGGTCTAGTCAAAATAAATAAAGTTTAGAAATCAGTCCAAGCCTTCTGTCAATCAACTGGCATCACCACAGGGCCACTGGTTTGGTTCCCAGACCAAAACAGATCAACTGGCCCAGTTTCCACGGTAACAGATGCAAGAGGCTGGTGTAATTAGTGGTTTAACTGTGTTCACACCCTGTAACTGCTGGTTTACATCAGTTTAACTCGAGGTTTTGTTGGTTTAAAGGCAAATGGTTGGTTTAACTGGTTCTAGAACCAATTAAACTAGTGGGGACTGTGTCCTCCTGTCTGTCTCCCCAAGCGTCCTCCTGTCTGTCTCCCTGAGTGTCCTCTTGTCGGTCCACCATGTAGTACTGGTGCTTCTGGATGTGCTGGCACAAAGTGGTGTATTTGGACACCCTCCTCATTCTGGGCAGGACAAAGCAGCGAGTGAAGTCCTCTCTGCTGAGGACATCGTGTCCCTCTGCCGTCAGGACGCTGTTCAGGAACTGGAGACAGAAGCTGAAGCAGTTATGGTCGTCCTCGTGAAACCTAAAAGACACAGACGAGTGGTCAGAGAGGACATCAGGTGTGTCAGAGGAGTGTCAGGTGAAACTTACCTGTGCCACACAGGGTCCCACATGGGTCCATCAGAAAACCGCTCCAGGTACTGATCCCATTGAGCCAGCAGGTGGAACATGTCAGGTCGGACCAGAGGGACACTGATGCAGCGTTCCCACCCACTTTGATCGCGCCGCACGCCATCCTGAGTGTAGTTGTACACAACACCTGCATGAGACAGGTGAGACAGACAAACAGGTGAGACAGGTCTCTACTACTTCTGTATAAAGCACTTAAAAACAGCAATGGGGTGGGGGTGTGCACTGTATGGCGGCGGCGGAGTGAGAAGTGTTGGGCTCCCACCAGTACTGCTTGGAAAAGTGCCTTTCGAGAATATAATCTCACTACTTTTACGTTGGATGCTCCAGTATTCAACATTGCTGTGAGATTGACTCGGCAAAGCTGAGGAATGGAGACAATCTTGAGGAAATATAAGTATAGGAGATCTGTGGATGCTGGACCCGACACCACCTCGAGCCACAGTACTTCTAAAACCGGGAACTCGGCTCCGCCCTCACTAGGTCCCAGAGAGACGGGCGTGTTGTCCCTTAAGTCAGACATTCTGGCTTCAATAAAAGATATTTCAGCGGTGATTAAATTGGAAATGAAAGCTGCCCTCGCAGAGGAGCCTGCCTTCATTAAGGGTGAACTTCGAGCAGTGAGAGCAAAAGTGGCGGCACCAGAGCACTCCAAGATCTGGACCAGGTGAAACTGAGTGTTGAAGACGTGCTGTCCACCTGGTCGGATGAGGTTGTGGCTCTGCGCAGTGTCATGACGGAACTGAAAGACGAGACAAATGGGCTGAAAAAGAAATGTGGAGACGTGGAGGAACATGTGTGTCACATGTTCTTCTCGCGCTTGCATGGGTTTTCTCCGGGTACTCCGGTTTCCACCCACAGAATAAAAACATGCGTGTTACTCTGCCTTCAGGCAAGAGAGATCTGTGATCTCAACGGTTAACTAAAGGTTACGAATAAATTAATTAAATAAGCCCTCCTCCACCCTGGCACCTGAACTCACTCTCACCTGTCGTGTTGGAGATGCCAGTGTGAAGATCAGAAGTCCCATTAAAATCTCTGAGAATAAAACAGCAAAACACAAGGCTGGATTATACAGGATTAGACTGGTTCGCACTCATTCAGACTGGTTAGACAGGTTTAAACTGGTTTAGCGTTTAAAACTGGATTAGACTGGTTCACACTATTTAGACTGATTAGACCAATTTAAACTGGTTAAACCAGGATTAAAACTGGAGAACACTGGCCCACACTGATTCCGACAGGTTAGACCGGTTTAAACTGGTTTAGACTGGTTTGAACCTGCATAAGACCAGTCCACACTTATTCCGTCTGTTTAGACTGGTTTAACCTGGTTTAACCTGATTTAAAACTGGTTTAGACTAGTCCAAACTAATTCAGACTGGTTTAGACTGGTTTGAACCTGGATAAGACCAGTCCACAAAACTGGACACGCACAAACACAAACACACACACACACACACACACACACATTCAGACTGGTCAGACTGGTTTAGCCTGTCTTAAAACTGGATTACATTGGATTATGAAAGGATTACAGGATACAGGATTAAGGATTACACCGGTTTACACTTGTTCATACTGGTTAGACTGTTTTATACTGGTTCACACTTGTAAAATTGAATTAGACCGAATTATACAAAATTAATCTGGTCCACATTCCTCCATACTGGTTAGACTGGTTCATACTGGACAAAACTGGTTTAGATCTGGATTAGACCGGTTTACACGAGTTCAGACTGCTTAGACTATTTTTTATACTGAATTCTCAGTTTGGATCAGGAGGTTCCCATTGGATCAGAGCTTTAACTTGCTGACTCAGTGGATTTAGATGTTTAAACTGTGCTTACCTGTGCAGGTGTCACCTACCTGTGGTGGTTGTCGTGTGCAGGAGCCACCAGCAAGCAGCAGGAGCTCTTGTGTCCATTGGAGAAAGGGGAAGGCAGGCTGACGGGGGCCTCCTGCAGCCTGCTCCTCCTGAGCTCCTCCCCACAATTTGGGCACTCCTCTGGAACGGAGAAACAGAAGATCTCCTTCTGACAGTGGCTCAGACGGATGACGCTGTGCTCCATTGCCTCCTTTGACTCTGTCTCCTGTTCCTCCTCCTCTTCTCTTTTACGCCTCGTCCTCCTTCTCACTTGGTTACAGCCTATCAGATGACATCACTGCCCATTACTTTGGCCTATCAGGTGTTATTCTGTCAGCCAGGTAGTCATGTGACCTGACTCACCTGCTGCTGCATGACTCTGAGCAGGCAACCTCTGGACTTAGAGCAGGAAGTGCTCACCAAAATAAAATACATGAAAAATAAAGTGAGTAAAAAAAATCTAAACTTGAAACTTTGATGCTCAAACATCCATCAGTCCCCCTGAACTGGACCTCGAAGACCACAGTTCCATGAACTGGACGTTAAAATCTCAGAGGACTGTCTGGTCTGCAGAGAGAGACATGATGGTTGAAAGAAGACACAATACCTGCGTAATACGAACAGTTTGTAAAAAGTTTGACCGTTGACACGACTGAAGGGTTAGTGTGACGTCATCAGACTCTCAACTGAACATTCTGAGGTAAAGTCATTAAATCCTCCATGTTGAACGAATGTTAACCTGTGACTGTGTAAAAAGTGGTAAAGATGTGAAAACAGCAGGGCAGTCATAAAAGTCCAACTTCCTGTGACCCGATTAGACTCTGAATGACGGTTCTGCTGTGAAGTCTGAACTGCACAGTCTTATGTTTTATCTCTGTCACATGAAATTCTGCAGAGACAAAGTTTTGATGCGTTTCTGTCTTTTTCAAGCCGTGGAAGGAGCAGCGAAGCCAGAATCCTGACAGAAACAAAATCAGCCCCTTTTAACCAACAGGTTTATTCTGGGCTCTGATCTGAAGATGAACATCAGAGGCTGACGTCCTGATGTCTCTGAATCTGTTCATGAAAGTAAATGTGTCTTTCAGTCCAGCAGTCAAACAGTTGTGTTCAAACCGTCACAATAAAAACTGAAAACTAGGCCAGGAGCTGCGATCTGATTGGCTCAGACAGACTGCAGGACACAAGGTTTTCCATCTCACCTGTCAACCTGGGAGACCTGATCAGGCAGCTCAGGTGTGTCTGACACTGATACTCACATGGGGTCAAATGTCTGACTTGATTCTTTAGTCCTCCATCATTCCCACAGGTGACCTTCGACCCCAAACCACCAGTTTATTGATTCAAAAGTCTCAACACCCACAGTTTTCAGCTCTGAGCCGCTGAAAACCATCAGAGAAGTAAAATCAGTTTTATGCTACAGAACCAGAACACACCTGGGACATCAGTGACATCTGTGAGGAACAGGAAGTAAACACAGAATTACTGGGCCAAAGACTGACTGAAACAGAAGTTCCTTCTTCATGTTTAAATATCAAAATGTGTAAATCCTCAGTTCTGAATATAAACACTAAACAGACAAACAGCTGAAGAACTGAACAGGTGGAGATCTGAACAGGTGGAGAACTGAACAGGTGGAGAACTGAACAGCTGGAGATCTGAACAGGTGGAGAACTGAACAGGTGGAGAACTGAACAACTTAATTCAAAATAAATTTAATGACTGAGGAAAAGTGGAAGACATAAAAAGAGTAAGTTCTGTCTAATCCGAGCCAGTAGACACGAACAGTACGGCTCAGAACTCCTCAGTTCAGTTCAGCTGGTTATCCAACCAGTGCAGACATGTTCCTGTTTTTAGTTTTCTAAGTCGCCTTATAATCTTGCTGTTTTTTGCTACTATTCCTCTTGATTGTTCTTTTGGTTGTTATTTTGTTTTAAATTTGTATGCCTCTTTTATGACTGTCTATTGTTGTCGTTGTTATCCATTGTTGTCATCACTCTTTGTTAAGAAATCAGGTCTCTCTTGTAAATGAGTTCCCGAGGCTCAGTGGGATTAACCAGAGCCCTGTAGGATTAACCTGTCGAAATAAAGTTGAATGAATGCATCCGCAGCGGAACCTTCCTGCAGCTCTCCGCCGGACCGGTTAGACTGGGGGACGTTCAGAGAGAACTTCCGGTAGCTTTGAGTCTGAAAGTCCGCGGAGGAAGATGAGTAAACAGGTGACTTGTAGGTAAGCGCGTGTCTCTGTCAGTTTCTTACCTGTGTGTCCGATTCGTGTTTGTGCACACGCGCTGCCGTGATGCTAAAGTTTTTAGCGGTTAGCTTCGTAATATAAACACACCTGGTTTTGAGCATGCGCACTCTAGAGCAGGCGGCTAAAATATGGCGTCTCATCGATTAGTTGATCAGCCGTTAACAGATCGACTGTGACCATGGGAACCGTTAGCTTCCGGCCTGAGTTTGTTAGGTGCCTAATGACGTAAGAAGTGTCAGGCGGGTTGAAGGATGGTTCTGGACCTTTTTCAACTTTTATTTATCCAGGTTAGTCTCATTGAGTCACGAGGACTCGTTTTCAAGAGAGACCTGTTTTCAGACAGACAACATAAAAAGTACAGACCATAAACAACAACTTCCATCCATCAGTCATCTTTACCCACTTCTTCCTTTTCTGGTCGCGGGGGTCACTGGTGTCCATATCCGTTAGTCACTGTGCGAGAGGTGGGGGACACCCTGGACAGTTCTCCAGTCCATCACAGGGACACCCTGGAC